CAAATGCCCATCAATTGAGAATTGGATAAAAAAAAAAAAAATATGTGTTCAAAAAAGAAACAACATAAGAAGTAGTCTTTTTACATAATCGAGTACTACTCATTCATGAAGGACAAATTCATGACATTTCTAGGTAAACTGATGCACCCTGAGATCATACTCTTAAGTAAAATAAATCAAACACACATTTAAATATTGCATTGTTTTTCTGGTGTGAGATACCAAAAGCATAAATAAGGACCAAAGTGTATAAAAGATATTGTGAAATTAAAAGAAACTGTTCAAAAGAAAAGGGAACTGGAGTACAAAGAGATGGTAAAAGAACAAACTGATAAAAGGAGGACAAAATGGAAACAAAGGAGAGGAAGAGAAGTTCAAGGGAGGAGAAGGAATTGGAAAAAAAATCAGGATATACCATGTACAGGTACAACTTTCCTATGATGAATGTGATCATCATGTATATCTAAACTGTAGCTAAAAACAGAACACAAAAATTTTTAAAAAAGCAATCTTTATACAGACAGCTATTTTGAATAAGACATTATGATACCCACTGTTGATTTCCTATTATTTTGTTTTCTATTATTTTGTTTCCTATTATTTTTGTTTTGAATTCCTGTATTGCTTTCATTGTTCTATTCTGATTGGCTTTATTCTGTTTTGTTTGATTTCATTTTATTCTCTTAAAAAATACACACACACACATGTGTGTATATATGTATATATGTGTGTGTGTATAATTACCTGGTACTTTTTACTAAAACTTTATATACATATGTGTGTGTGTGTGTGTGTGTATATATATATATATATATATAAAATTACCTGGTACTTTTTATTAAAACTTTTAACACTCTGAAAGCTTTCTATCTTACTAAGGGGGTTAAAAATATCTGTAATAGAATCTACAAATGTATTTCCAGGGAAATCGCAGAATGGTAAGCAACAAAAACTGCCTCTCCAAGATTCAGATTTTAGACACTTGAAAATAACAACATCTTCAAGGAAAAAAATGGGGAAGAGAAAAGAAGATGGTAGTAGATTGCCAGGAACCAGGAAAAATCTAACAGGAAAATCAAAACCTACAGAGAAACTGAATACAATCTGGAGAGGAAAGAAACGATCTACACTTCCTCCCCACCTCCTGGATCCCAGGTCACATGAAAGGAAGACCCAATCTGCAGAGACTAAGTAAAAACTGAGGATTCCAGAGGACTTTGAGGGAGAAACACAGCAGGTAAACTAACCAGCAGGTATTCTGAGCTGCAAGGAAACCATGTGATTCTGCTCCCAAATAGTCCTTTGACAGGCAACGGCTGGTGACTCCAGTCCAAGTGCCCAGCACGCCTGTCCTGGAGAGCATGCTTGGTCAGATACTATTTCAGAGAAGGGATGACTGCTTGAACCTGGGACTTAGAGCAGCCCTGATAAGCTTCAAATTCAGGGCTCCCAGTATTATGTTCCCACGGTGATGGGTGACAGCCAAAAAGGCCAGTTATCTTCAGGGAACCATGGTCAGGCTGGAAAGAGACCCCATGAAATGGTAAAGCTAAAGTTCAGAGGTCTGCCCCCAAAGGCCAGGGTCTTAGATTACTCTGGATTTCAAAGTTACAGCATTGGTGCTCTAATTCGTGATTACCTAATGCTACTGTACCTGTATCCAGCAGGGAACTGGGCCTAACTGCCTTCACTATCTACCAATGTGAGCAGGCACATGTCTTGACTTGGATGTGATCCCCAAATTGTAAACTCCCAGAAGAAAACCGCATTTGAAATCATACAGAAGTTTCTTTTCCTTTTCTTTCTTTTTTAATTTTGCTTTTGTTTTTCAGTTTGTTTTTTCTGTTAGTGGTGGCAAAAGAATACCAAGAATCAACAAATGGGATCACATTAAGTTAACAAGCTTCTGCACAGAAAAAGAAACATCAATAGTGAAAAAGAAACCTGTATAATGCAAGTTCACAAAACTTCAGTATTTTATTTGAAATTGTATTCAGTTAACAATATACATGATATCCCCAAGCTATTTAATATATTCAATTATGTTCAGATATTCTTTTATATTTTCAATAATAAAGTTTTTTAAATTTCGCTATAAATGCTAACATACTTTTTATTTCACTTTTTCCTAAGCAATACTGCTTTGTTGTTCAAACTGTATTCTTTTTAAAATTATAATTTCTACATATTTTTATGAAGGTAAAAAGGCATTCTTTTAAAGTTATACTTTATTCAGCAGTAATGAATTACCTAGTTAGTTCTGGTACACTGCATGTAGATTTTCATGCAGATAATTATCTGTAAGTAACAAAATTTTTGTTTCTCATCTTCTCTAATTTATTTTAAATCCTTATTTTACCAGCTAAGGCTTCTAGTACAAAGCTGAAAAGTTGTGACAGTGATCATCATGTCCCCATGTTTCAAAGAAATACTTCTAATACTTCACCATTAAATATGAAGCTTATGGTAAAGTTTTTATTAATGTTTTTAATTAAGTTAAAGTTTTTTTTTCAATTCCCAGGTTCTTAAGGCTTGATGTTCACATAGGCAGTGGTGGTGTTAATCATAAATGTTAACTTCTATCCTCTCCTATCTAGCTATTAAAATGACCATATGTGACAGACACTGCTCACTGTCTACCTGGCATCTAGTCTGTGAGATTTAACTCATTCATCAGAAAAATTTTTCACATTTAGCTGCTAAGTTACTATTCTCTTCAAGTAGGCATCATTGTACAGTATCAGCAAAACAAAAACAAAGTTATGCAATTTTATTTAATAGTCTTAATGAAATTAGATTCACCCTTCAAATGCATTATGACCTCTGCACTTGCATATAAAAACTGTTACTAATGGAGTTTATAAAATGCTAATGCTCAGGACAGGGATAAACAATAAGTGACAAGACTACGTGGAACATGTAAAGCTTAGAGGTTAACCAAATTCACATCTCCTGTAGGAGTAAATGATGCCTTTCGAAACAACTACACAGAGCCACACCACCGTCCATTAAAATGTAACACAAAGCTGTCTACAGTTTATTTCACTAAAAATCAACTAAAGCACTACCACTGTGTGGTAGTAAAAGTATATATACTAAATATTCTTGATTTCTAGTACGATTCTCCCAAAAAAATGCAACAGAATTCCTTGGGAAAATGAATGATGATTTAGAACTGGACCAGGAAATACACACAAGGAGCACCTCATAGTGACAGAATGTAAAGAAGTCTTAAGGAAAAGCAACCCATGACAATGGTGGGATCACGTCAATAGGAAACTTAAAAGATCTCCAGGTTTGGAGTTGGAACATTTGTGAAATGAAGTCGTTTTACATCTTAACAACAGCAACAACAACAACAAAATTACATAAATGTTCACTAGCCCATAATGAAACAAATGACTGAATTCACCAATAAATGAGGACAAAGAAACAAATCTCCCATGCAGAAGAATTACAAAATGTATGTAGATATTTCATCCTCAAGAAGGTACAAAATAACTATGTAAGAGTGGCTGGTGGGTAGCAAATTTTTTCTGAATAATAAATAGTACACAATGATAGAAGGATAGTATTTCACAGGGAATAAACCTAAGACCATCTCAACCAAGCGATCAAGGTTAAAACAGTGACAGATTATGCTAATTGTATGTGCCCTTGATAAAATGTGATGAAAATGGCACTTTGCTTCTATGGTTTTCTTCCCCAAAAAATATGAGCCCAGTTTAATGAGTAAAACTTCAGACATTATACAGTGAGTCTGGCCAGTACTCTTCCAAACTGACTGAGCCATCAAATCACAAGTCTGAGAAACTGCTACTAATATTAAGAATGAACACTGCACTGAATGCATGTTATGCTTCCAGAGAACAGCTAATGATATTGTAAAGCCATAATTAGCACAGATTATCAATATTATAAAGATATTTAAAATTTCTAGTAAGATTAAAAAGCTTGCTATAATGTAATCTTTTATAAAATTTCACAAAATGTTTCTTATATAGCTTCTTATATTTGCTGACTTACTTTGAAATCTTCAATAAAAAATTTTATTATAGAAAACCAAGTTTTAATTAAAACTGTGTAAGTGTATCCACTGAAAATGCACACATCTAGTAGAAACAAAGGTACTCTGACATGCTGTCCGCTCTGTGGATAAAAGAAGGCAAACTAGGAAGCACACCATCACCAGACACTGGATCTGCCAACACCTCATCTTGGTCTTCCTACCTTCTAGAACCAAGAAAAATGTTTATTGTTTTAAAAAAATTAAAAGATTCTGAGTAGGGTAAAAAACTAGCACCACATATGAATTCCCTATTTCTATCATTTGTAGTAAGTAGTTATAGGAAACTTGATGAATCCATAAATGTACTGTGGTATATCTCTATGTACTTAGTGTCATACAAATGAGACCTTTAATAAACACAATACTTACAAATTATAGTACGTGTAGAAACTATCATATAGTATCACACTGATTTAGCTTCAGAATTAGACTGTGTAGGCCAGAAACACTGGCCATACAATTTATTATCTATGAGACCTTATTTAATTTATGTGCTACTATCATATGTAGAAAAGTGATACAATTGGTGGAAGTGTTACAAGAGATAATTCCTGCATAGCACTTGGAACAGTGATTGGTCCACAGTAAGTATTCAATAAATGTCAGCATATTACTAGCCATTACTATTGAGCGTAATCATAAAAATGTTTTATACCACAAAGAAAGTCATTAATTACCTTTTTGCAAAAAACTAAAAGTATCAACTTATGAATTGAATGAATGAATTACATACTTTTAAAATGAATTACTTACTTTTCTTTTATAAGTAACTAAACATTTCAAACTTGTCCTGGCCTAGCATGTTTTATAAAGGTTGAGACTCTGTAAATACACCATCAATATCTCGTTTAATTAAAAGACTATATTGATAGTGTTGGCCATAATAGCCAACAGAAAGAACTTCACCAGAACTTTAAAATGATATACATACCCTCAAATCAGGAGAAAAGTTGTCTGCAGAAGTCGAAATGGAATCTGATGATATAACAGAAGCTGATTTTGTATGCACTGAGTTCTCTGAATGAGAAGTAGAGGCACTACAAAATACAAAAACAGTATGTTTGAAAAATGGGAGCTTTAAGGACCAATTTTAGACATTTTATTTATAATCCTATTATTTATTAAAATTTCCACTGCCAATGATTCCTATGCTGCCCACTCAAACTTGTATCCAAATATAAATTATAGAAAAATCTCTATAAATTATTTATACTGATTCATTACTGTTTACACTGATTCATCATCTAGTACATCCATTCTTTAAAATTCTTAATGGTTACCACGTCTGAACTGGAGAATGGAACAGTCTCTCTCTCTAAAATTTCTTCCAAATAGGAAATATTACATCATATAAGCACATCAATAATACTATGAGAGGTACAAGCAAGTGACAGGAGAAAAAACTTTCAGGAAATGGTAGTAATTATAGCTAAGGAAACAAAGAAATATGCTAAGTTGAACCATTTGAAATTGCTGTTTTTCGTACATCAAATAAATATCAACTTAGGATAAAAGGAAAGAGAAGAATTTGAGCTTGAGTGTTTTACAGATTACAAAGGTTAGACAGAGTCTTTATAAGCCACAAATGAATACCAAAGATAGAGAAATAAAAATAAGGTACTTGAGAAAGGAGAGGGCATATTTATTAAGCAATAAGCAATTTATTAAAACTAAATAAAGAAACAAAACAATGCAGCCAGTGAATACTAAATTCCAGGCTTAAAAGCCTTGCTAGTAAAAGTATACCACTTTATGCCCTCTAGGGTGGTCATCTGTAATTGAAACAAAATACCAAATATTGGCAAAGATGTGGAGGAAATGAAACACTCAAACACTGCAGATGGGAATATAAATATGGTATAGTCACACTAGAAAACAGGCAGTTTGTCAGGAGATAAATCACACAGGCCCTATATGACTCAGCAATTCCATTCCCGAGGGGAAAAAAGGCCAGAATGTACATTAATGGTACAAAAATATTCATAGCATCACTATTCTTAATAGCCAGTGAGCAGAAAACAACTTACATCGTCCTGCTTAAAATCCTCAAAGGCCCTCTGTTGTTCACAAGATAAAGATTAGCATCTTACCACGGCCTCCGGTTGGCGTATGACCCATGACTCCTACTCCAAGCTTCCTCTTCTATATCTTCCTCTTGTTTTCCCCAGTTCAACTACACAGGTCTTCTTTGAGACCCTTTAAAAAAATGTGGTCCTCTGCAGTGGGCACAGTTGTCCCAAAAACTCTTTCAACTTTCTCAACCAAAACACCTCTCCAGGGAAATCCAACTGGATGTGATGCTCCCAATAGCTGCTCTCACAGGACAGCTGTTTCATTACATTTCACAAGTGTGTTTTCACATATCTTAGTAAATGTTTGATTAGTATCTATGTTCTAAGATGTCAAACTTCAAGAAAGGAGGGAAATGTCAAGAGAAAGATAGTAGTTTTGGTTTTTCTCACAATTCTATTACTAACAGCCAGGAAGACACCTGCTATAAAGCAGACATTCAGTATTTGTTGAATGAATGTATAAGTGCATGAATGAATGAATAAATGCATGAATGAATAAGGGAATGAATGAGAATCAATGATTGAAAGACAGGATTACGTAAATCAAATTAACAAGAGGCCATGATTAGATAAAATAAAAAAGGAAGTTGATATTAAAAGAGTAGGAGAACAAGTAACACAAAAATAAGGGAAAATACACAAGTTGGTTAGCTCTCAGGAGCCCTTCTGTGTATGTTATTTTATATGCCACATTCCCATTAAAAAGTTCACTATGCTATTGAGACAAACACTACTTTAAGGTTGCTATGTCTAAAGGGAACGGCAATCATTAAACAGCTGATGGGAACAGGCTTTTCAAAACCTATTACTTCCACTGGAGTGGTTAAAGGGGAACTGGACAGAATCTGAGAAACCAAGATCATATGTATCTAGCAGCAGTTTTCTTGGCCAACCCACTTAATCTCCACACTTCAGAATATTAAAAGCACCATTTAGTTTATGTAGGTGATCCTTAAATTTTTGATGGTTGTACACCATTTTGAGAATCTCATGAAAGCTATTTCTTAATTTCCCACAATGTCAAAGACTTTTAAATATCAGAAACTTTGTAATGTTTAAAGTCAAGGTAGGTGGCTTGCAACATCAGGGACATCAAGGTTAAAATTCTTGACCTGAATGAATCCTTTAAGCTCTGATGTAGTACAGTTTCTGAAATGAGTAGTTTTCTTTTGGTAGTATCTACACAGCATCTAGATGAGTACTGAAAAATTAAACTGACTGAGAAGTTTATACATGCACGTGCATACATGCACTAAAATAGATTCACATTTGGAATTTTTAAAAAATATTTTAATTAGTCTTAGTCTTGAATATCAAGTTAAAACACATAAACCACACAGACTCATTCCAATACTGTGTTTCTTAAGTAAAAACTTTTAAGATAGTATTTGTATGTAACAGATTTAAAGGAAAACTAAATCTAATAGCTACATTTATCTCAAGACCTCTGATCTACCACCATATAAATTCAAAACCTTTATAAACAGAAAAAATGTTACTAAGAAATATGTCACAATTTCATTAAATATTTTCATTTTTTATACTAAGTGATTTTATCTGTACGATCTTTTAAAATATATTTGAAAATTGTTTAATTTAGCTAAGTAGTGACTCCACCTCAGTATAATTTCAAAATGTATCTCATTTCAAATTATGTCTGCAATCATTCAAAGGAGGCCCTCTAAAAATACACACAGGGTTGGCTCAGTAATTCTTCTCTCTAAGTAATTTAATCAGACAGATCTAGAACAGAGGAATATAAACTCAGCTGATTCCAGGACATTAGCTTGACAGTGCCCAAGAGGGTTCTGTTTGCAGGCTTTCTTCTTTGTGACTCACAAACACACTATAACTGTGTAACCTCAGCACTTTGGAGATGGCCATTAGCATCAGTAGGCTGCCTCATCTGAAGATCTTGTCTGCTAAAGTGAAAAATGGAAATATAGTACATGACTTGAAGTAATCAAGGTACTGGAATTTCTAAGAGTACATTCGTTTTTTTTTCAAGCCCCATGTGTGATTTTTCTTCACAAGTCTCTCCCAAACCTACAAACTATATTTCATTTCTTGAACTCAGGTTCCTTTTACATTTCAGCAAACTGTCTATCCTCACTCTCCATTTTCTCAATATGCACTCAATTCCTTAATCCCTAGAAATCTAGGTTCTGCCTCTGTCAATCAAAATCTGTTCAAAGACTGTAAGAAAGCCCACTCACGTCAAGAGTATTGAGTACCTGAACTACCTATCAAGTCCAGGTCTCATCACTATAACCCAGCTATCTGGAAGGTGAAGCAGGAAGATCACAAGTTCAAAGCCAACCTGGGCAATGTAGCAAATAATTATCCCGAATAAAGAAATGAAAAAGAGGGCTGGGGATTTAGCTCAATGGTATAAGCTCCCGCCTGGCAAGTACAGGGTCCTGAGTTTGATCCCTGGTACAAAAAAAAAAAGAAATGAAAAAGAGACTGAGGGTTTTGCACAGTGTAAGAATATTTCCCTTCCATCGGTGAGGCCATGAGTTCAATCCTTATTATCACAAAGAAAAATTAATGAATAAAAACTAATTATTATAAACACAACCAATCATTCTCTGTCTCTTCTTTTGCTGCCATCATACTCATTATCATCTGACATTCTGTTGTACTTATTTTTGACTCTCACATTCCCTCCCACTCTATCCCGCTTAAAAGATAAGCTCTTTGAAGGTCTCAAGTTTTGTCTGTTTTGCTCGTTACTGTATTCTCAGTGACTAAACACACATTCCCAGCAAAAGGAATATTGGCTGCAAAAAGGGAGGTTCTTTGAGGATAGGGTCAAAAGCTGTATTATTCTTTTAAGTATAAGGTGTAGATGTACATATGGACAGTATATAAAATTTATATTTCCATGGGTAGAGAGAACAGCTTAAGGGAAAATACTCCTCAGGAGGTAATAATTTTTTAAAGGCTTGAGAAACATTAGTGGGCTTTAGACAAATGCCTGCCACATAGCAAAAGCTCAGAAGTTGAATTTTACTAAAGTTTACTGAATAAATTAGTTAATACTGAGTGCTTAACATGCTAGGTACTCTTAACATATTTATGAAGATGAAATAAAATGCATTCAAAGAATTTGGCACATCTGACAAAAATATCAAAACTACATAAACTATTACTATTTACCTACTAGAAGCTGGAACGTAACACCTCTTAGTCATCACTGAATCCTTTTTTTAGCAGGCTGGAGTTAAAATAAAATTGGAAGATAAAAACACTTAAGAATTTAACCATTGAAGAAAAGAGTTATCCTTAATCTGAATGACCCTGCCAGAAAAAAGATAATTTTATTAAACTAAAAATGATTTCTAGCAAAGGAAACTTCCTATTTCCCTTTAGCAATAGTGTCAGTTATTAAACCATTGCTGAAAGCGCAAATCCTTTCTGCTTTCAGCCCATATGCTATCTACTATTGTATTTTATAACAATGACAGAAAAGATGTCTACAGTTAAGTGTTTAGTGATGGATCATTATATATAACCATACTAAAAAGCATTTCACAATATGCAGCAGAGGACACTGGCCAGTGGCCACCAATAAACTACTCTCCCACTTCAACTAGGACTGTAAGTTAAACTGTTAGCTGAGGAAGAAAAATTAGGTGTCATATATCAAGGAAAGTCATTTAGTCTTTCAGAACCCTAATTTCATACTGTAAAGTGGGTGTAAAAACACCTGTTCTACTTAGTGCACTGGGTAGTTATAAAGATCAAGTGAAAGTAAACAGAAAATGCTGTCTAAGCTATAACTTCTGAAAGAAGAGCATGAAACAATAACAATGGTGCTAAAATGTAGAAAATGAATTTAGTGATAACATGCTTAAGACTTAAAAGCAAAACGTGTGTGGGCCTAAGAAACCAAATGGGTCTTCTCAGGAAGACTTTCCACATTGATGTCATTTCTCCTAAATACACTGTATGCTCCTCTCAGGATATTCACCTTTAATTCACAGCTAACTCTAACTGGTTGCTAAAATTTTCAAAAAAAAAAATGTCTTCTAATTTGGTTTTCAAATATACAAAATCAATAATTGCAGTTTACCAGGACGAATTTCTAAATAGAAATTAGATTTTAGAGATTAGGATTTTTAACATATACATTATACTAAAATGACAGCAATAAAACAATAGGCCATATCTATTAACACTGAAATAAAAGGGTAACTGACTTATAAGCATAAACGTTTCAAAAGATTAACTGTATCGTTTCAAAGAACAACAGACTTGAGGAAAAGTCATAAAATGTCAAAAAAAAGAATCCGATATTATTTTTTTATAAAAGCCTAACTGAACAAAATTTGAGCAGACAAATAATAGTGGAAGAACACATTTTAATGGTTTTTAATTTCTTAACTACTTCACAGAGAGACTTCAGAAAAGATTTTTAAAGCTATGATATTACTATTCCAGTTTTAGTCAGTCTTCCATAATATCTGAATCACTAAATGTTCCCTCCCCCTCCAAATAAGTTTTTTCTCAATGCATGTTTAATTGAAAAAGAAGCTCTGTTTTCAAATTACGTAATTATTCTCTAATATCCCTCTCCCACACAGCTGAACAGGCTACAAAAGGTGTCTTACAAAGTCTTTTACCATCAAGAGTGAGCTCTAACGTGAAATGCTGAGGAAATCAAGATCTTGTCAGTAAAGACACACAAAAACGTAACTAGAACAAGGGCAGTATTATACAAGACAGTCGTGAATCTCTAATCTGAGACTCTGTAAACTCACAGGCACAAAATTCTACCAGCACATTTGAAGAATCGCTGTTCTAAATATTGGAAACTTTTGAACTACATTTCACCATTTTAATATTCTTGGTAGTCAAATTGTTTCCAGCTTTCCTCTTCCTTCATATACATATACAAAGTGCTGTCCTATTTCAAAATGTGACTTGTTCTTTAATTTTTTTTTTTCAGCGAATGGTGTCCTATATCCTGAGTCCTTTTTAATTTCATTTTGAGACAGGCTCCCATTAAATTTGGGCTTGAGCTTAAGATATTCCTGCCTAAACCCTGTCAGTAGCAGGGATTACACACAGGCGTGTGCCTCACACTTGGCCTCCAACATCATTTCTAAAAGATAAGAC